TTCCTGGCCACGGCTGCCACCTGCTCTTTGAGCAGGAGCCGTGAGTCCAGGAGGACCCACAGATTATGCACTGGGTCTGTCTGGGGCAGTGCTACCCCATCCAGTTCCAACGATGACAACGTCCCAGATGCAGAGGAGCCATTAACCCACAGCCACTCTGTCTTGCCAGGGTTCAGCTGGAGCCTGTTGTTCCCCATCCAGACCCTCACAGGCTCCAGGCACCGCGAGAGGGCAGTCATGGCATCACTTACCTCACCAGGGATAGAGATATATAGTTGAGTATCATCAGCATACTGATGATATCTCATCCCATGATGACGGATGATCTCACCCAGCGGTTTCATATAGATGTTGAAAAGGAGCAGAGAGAGACCCGAACCCTGCAGCACCTCACAGAGGAGGGGCCGAGGATGGGACCTCTCTCTCCCTATCACCACCGATTGGGATCGGCCCCGGAGAAAGGAGGTGAACCAGTACAAAACTCTGCCGCCCACCCCCATATCCCTGAGCCGTCCCAGTAGGATACCGTGGTCGACGGTATCGAACACCACTGAGAGATCAAGGAGAGCAAGGATGGTCCCACTTCCACCATCCTGCTCCCGCCAGAGATCATCCATAAGTGCGACCAATGCCGTTTCCATTCCATAACCAGGCCTGGAACCCTGACTGAAGGGTCCAGATAATCCGTTTCCTCCAGGACCCTTTGGAGCTGCGAAGCCACCACTTTCTCAACCACCTTCCCCAAGAAGGGGAGGTGGGAGACTGGACGAAAGTTATTCAGTACGGTAGGATCCAGGGAGGGCTTCTTGAGGTGGGGGTGCACCAATGCCTCTTTAAAGGGCGCTGGAAACACTCCCTCCTGCAAGGATGTAGTAACCATCACCTGGATCTAACCATATGTCACCTTTTGAGCTGCTTTCACTAGCCAGGAGGGGCATGGGTCCAGATGACAAGTGGTGGCCCTCACAGTCCGGAGGATCCTGTCCGCTTCCACAGGAACAACAGGATCAAACCGTTCCCAAATAACTAGGCAAGAGCGATCCCCCGGTATCTCCCCAGACCCTGCACCATGCTCGGAGTCCAACTTGGAACGATTTACTTCCTCTATAGAACAAATAGTTCCGCACTGTATCCAAATTTAGAGAGCTAAGGCTCATGAACTCAGATGAAGCTAACCAGAATCAAATAGTGGTTTAAACTCCTGATTGTTAACCAACTTCAGCTAGAACAAACATACTTTTCCAAATATCAGAATTGTATACTTGTTCTAAAAAAAAAAAAAAAAAGCAGAAGCTTTCATACTCTTCTCACACGAGGGGTGAATCTGAAGCTTTTCCTGGTTCATTTTCTTTCATCACCTGATCATCCTTTTGTGTCCTGTATTTGTTTGTCACAGCTGGATTCCCATACCATACTAAATCCAAAACATATATGCTCTGTTCATGTAACATATGATCCCAAAACCAACTAAATCACATTATGGCTTTATGCACTGGGTTCGTACCATGTGCCAGGACAGTGGCTGAACTCCCACAGCAGCCCCAAAGTACACAATCTTCTTTTAATCTAGTCTGGTATCTTGTGTGAACCCATTCCATGTACTGCATTGTGGGATAGCATCTTAATGTATTAAACATGATGTTTAATGATGTTGATGATATTCACTTTCACCAGGCTATCGTCATGTTTATTTAGAAGGACTGACTGAAGCTTCAATTTTTGTTCATATAACCATCAATGAAATTTATGGAAAGGTAAGAGATGAGCATTTCATTCCACACCCTGAACCGTTAGGACTGGCATTAGCATTTGTTAATGAAAGAGCAGCTGTTGGTTAACCACAGATTTAAGCTACAAGTTCAGCTTTCTGGTTTCAAAGTGCAAATGTCTGAAGTATGTTCAAGTCTTGGTTGAGTTGTTCATATTTATAATACAATAGCTTTCTCCAGTACCATACCTTCAGACATTCTGGAGCTCCCAATATTTCTGGAGGGCACCAGGCTTAGTTTCAAAACCACGAATTGTGATTTGTGCTTATAAGAATAGCATGGACATAAGTGACATTAATTATACCTTAAAACCCATCTCTTTATTTAAAAACTGATCCCCCCCCCCCCATTTTGGAAATAATGTGCAAAATGGGGCAGTTTTGGGCAATTCCTGGGGTTATTTAGCATTCATTTCTCATTGAACTGTAGAACTACTTCACTAGGATTTGTGTTTGTTTCTTTATGCTTAGTTTGAATCTATTTTAAAGCAAAGCTGTTGCTGTTTCTCTTGTGAACATGGAACATTTTTAAAGTTAGTTTAAGTTTTAAAATTGGCAAAGAAGTTATTTTTGCAAAACTGTTTTTTTTTTAATTTCTGTTTAGAAAGAATATTTTACTTGTTAAGGGGCTGTAGCATAACAGGCAAGCTCACGTTGTATGCAGACAGTCCTATTTTCAATCTCTGGTGTTTCTAAGTGGGCTACAAAAGATTCCCATCTGAAACACTGGTCAATTGATGGTATTAGCTTGCAAATAAGGAACTGAAATGGCTTTGACATTTTCCTGTGTCCCCCAGCAACAATATTTAAGGTACTTGAGTCACTACCATTGTAAAGCAGTTGCTAGGAAGTCCATATATGTAAGAGAGTATAAACCATTGTCTGTCTTTGCCAGCTACATTCAGCTGTAATAATGAACTCTGGTTTATTGTTAGAGATACAAGCCTGGGTAAATCTCAGGGTAGAAGTTCACAGGCTGTAACAGTAAATCACAGTGAACTTCAGGATTGCATGTCACATTTCCTTTGGTGCAGCCACTAGAAAATTGAATCTTTTGGTTTATTATTTATTAAATGCATCAGCTGATCCTAATTATGCCTAACTAAGGGTTATCCTTGCATCTGAATTCAGCCTGTGAGTTGGGAATAACTGACTTCTTCTATGATCTGGACTCTAAATATTGTTCCAAGCAGATTTATTTTTAGTGATTCAAAAGGGAAGAAGAACCAGAGGTTCTCTAGTCTATTGTGGCAATAATTGTACCATTTTTCAGCCAAACAGTTTCACAAATCAACAGAAAATACTTTCCAGTGCTGCAGTGTGCAAAATAGGCGCTCTCCAATTTGATGAAACCAGATTTTGCACAGTACATTTTCTACGATGCACTCATTTATCCATTTTACATCATAGGAATTCTTGCTTCATTGAACAGCATGGTTTACTGAATTAACTCAGTGCTGATGTTAGTAATCATTACCTTCCTTCCCCTTGTTTCTCCCTTGTCTGCTTTAAAATTGGAGTTATAGCTTTTGGTTTCGTTTTGAGGAGCTTCCCTTCCTCTTGCTTGGTGCACCTCCCTCTATTATTGCTCCATGGATCTAGAACTCTATTCTTGACTTGGATCATTATTAAAAGAAGTACAAAATAGATGGGTATTTCAAAGCCCAAGGGAGAGTCATGAAATCTTCTCCCCTGAAGTCTCTCATTCTCTGTTCTTTAGAATGTTCTGGATACAGAGGTTAGCCAGATGGCTTTGGGACCCTTTTAATTGCTCCATCACATTAACCATCCTGAACATTGCTAAGAGTAGCCACTTGGCAAAGGAATGTCTGACGTGGTCCTTCATTAGTTGCTGTCTCCACCTTCTGGCAGTGATTGACAGATGTTAGAGAGAAAGAGAGTGATTGTATTTCTCATCTGTTGCTTTAAAGCAAATTTCCACCAAGAAGTGGACATCTTAACAGGAAGGCTGTATTAGGTTAGATATTACTTTCTGCTTAGCATCCCTGGACTTCTCCACATGAAAGAAGCAGTGGAATGTCAAAAGCAGCCCTGTGTTTTATCTATAATAATAATTTACTATAACATATGTATTTTCCTGTGATCCAGTTGAAGAAATTGAGTTCGACATTTCTGCTTTTCTTTGCCTTTCAGTGGAGTCCTTTAATCCTCAATCCCAGTTATACTATCATGCATTTTCTAGGAGCCACAAAGGTAGTCTTTATTTAGCATGCACTTCTGCACTGGCTGGGTGCCTATTTTTTCTTTTTTGGAGCCTTTCTGAATCGCATGATCTCTTACTGCTGTGCCACTTTATTTCTCATCAAGCGTTTGAAACTTTGTGCTGCTGCTTTGAAGTTCCCATGTGATAAAGATACAAGCTTTTGGGCCAGGCTGGCTTTCACCTGAGGACATGCCTCACAAGCTTGTCATGTGCAATTAGGAAGTGTCTTATAAAACCCCTTTTGCCTCAAGGCAGGCTGCCTATCTGATGAATTCTTTTTTTGTTATACATGCATGAACTCATGGTGAGCTCCACCTGTTTTGATCAGCTAGGTGTGGACTTGCTTCATTTGATGCCTTTTCTTATTTGCTTGGGATTTACTTACCCATTATCATTGCTCAGATAATGTATGCAAATTCAGCAATTTAGAAGTGTCTTTATGGAAAACAGGCTACATTTTCAAAAATCTGTAGTATCTTTTTTCCTCTCCTATTTTCTCTTTTTTCAGAACAAGCAACTAATCGGACTCCGAGGGCTTTTTAATAAGAACCCCAAACATAATTCAGTGGAAAACAGCACTCATTATATTAGAAAAAGGTCCCTTGGGGATCGAATTCTCCGACGCACAGCCAGCGCTCCAGCGAAGGGTAGGAAAAAAAGCAAAATGGGCTTTCAGGAAACCACTGACCTTAAGGAAAGTGTATCAGAGACATTGGACTTGAAAGAGAAGGAAGGAGTTTTCAGGCAAACCAGCAGAAGTTTACAGTTCCGACCCATCTCCATGCCAGTTGATAAATATCTTCTGGTGGGCTTGCCTCCATCAGATCAGGATGCTACCAGAGTTGTTGAAGTTTCCAAAAGTGAAAGTACATCTGGTGAGTTCTTACTAAGAGGCTTTCAAGATACTGTAATAATTTTGAAAAAATTTTGAATTTTTGATCAGGTCAGTTCTGTGCATATTGCTTGGAAATTAGTCCAGGAGGATGTACAAACATATGTAGGTACATACTATACATACTTTTATACCCACCTACTGTATCATGCTATTTCCCTTTGAAATAAGAAACATGGTGCAAAGCATGGAAAAGTGGTGAGTAATGAGCAAAATAAATTAAATTCAAGATAAGAGAATAGGAATGGAAATCTCACTAAATCTAATTTACAACTTTGTTCACTGTATCTCTCCATACTTTTCTATCCTTGCAAACCATCTTTGTTTGCACCATGTCCATACATTGCTTTTTGTTCTGTAAACTTCTTACTTCTCTCTCTTTTTGAGAGTACTTCTCTCTCTCTCTTCATCAACTCCATGGAACTACTGCCATCTTAATCTTCTCTTCCCTCTTACTATTCACTCTTTCATATAATTGTTTTGCAATGTGGCCCTCATTCATTCTCTCTCCCAAGGGAGAGTCATGAAATCTTCTCCCCTGAAG